AACCTGACATGGAACCCAAGAGGAAGGGTGAGCACCCAGCAAACGATGCGTGTAGGTCCCGTGAAGTTTCTGTGCTCCTAGGCTGAGACTGAGCACAACCAGGGAAGAGAAGCAGGTACTGCAGGTGAGGGAGAGCTCTTCCTGCAGGGCAGCAGCTGGTCTGTCTCCTGGCAGAGGAGGGGCTGCTGGCAGGACCTCCCCATGGGTCACTCCAGCTCTCGCTGAGCTCGCTGGCAGATCCCGTGTGCAGCACCTGACAGGGGCACTGCCAGCCCCTCAGGCTGGGCACGGAGCTCTACAGCAGCTGCTGCTGGGGGACAGCTCAGCTCGGCACCACAACGCTCACGGAGCCGGTGGGTCTGTCCCCTCCTGCCAGGGCTGCCTGGTCACACCCAGTGTGCTGCACCTCTCCAGCAGTCAGCAGCCACCTCCCTGCTGCTCCCGCGGGCTGTGCTCAGCAGCAGCTGCAGATGACAGTTCTTGGTGACTCTGCCTGGAGAAACGTCTCTGCTGGGCTGTGCCCTAGACAGTGCTTCAGGACGAGCACTGAAGGAGCTGCCAGCCAGGCTCTGCCTTCAGGGACTGTCCCTGTGAGCAGGGGACACCCTCCCCCCAGACGTGGGGCTGTTGGCTGCCCTGCTGCTCCCCGACATACATTTCAGGGAGACACAGTGAGGTTCTGTCACATCCCAACTGCTCGGGTGACAACTGGTGGGTGGAGCTACTGGGAAAACACCCCACTGGTTTCCTATTCTCACCCACTGGGCTCCATCCCATCCCACATGACATGAGAGATTCTATTACCACTTATTTCTAGTCTTCAAACTTCTCACCTGGGCTTGTGACACTCATTTTCTTACCCACCCCACTTAAGGCCTTCTTAGCTTCTGGAGAGTGTTCCCAGGCTCAGAGAGGGAAGAGGTTCAGCTTTCAGCACCATTCATTGTGCCAGTCCTCCTACCTATTGGGCTTGATCTCCACTCCCCTCACGTGGTGTGGCTGCAAGAAAGGGTAAGTGAAGCAGAGGCACAGAGGCAGAGGCACTCAGAAGACCCCTGTGCTGTAGGACAGAGCAAAGCTCCCAAGAAGAACTCAGCAATAAGCTGTCAGCAGGTCAGCTTCGGGTCACAGGGATGAGAAAGGTCCAGGCTCAACTGAGGAAACATAAAAACACCTACAGAAATTGTCCTGCAGGGCCACAGACAGACAACTGGAGTTTGCACGGATTTTAAGCCGTCCCCACCTCATCCTGCATGGCTTGTCCAAGTCCTAAACTTTGCTGTTGTTTGGCTACAGCTGGGGCCCTAAAGTTACAACACACAGGTCAGAGCTCCTCAGACAGAAGCAAGGACCACGATCCCTCAAGCAGGACCCCAGATGAGCACAGAAGACATGTGGAGTCAGGGGATCTCTTCAGCTGCTGGGATCTGAGGAAAACTGGTCTCTTAGCCTAAAGCATCCTCACCTTGAAGGTCTGTTACACTCCCTGTGGTGGAGCACAAACCTCCTCTGACCTGTCAACAAGAGTTATGAGAGCTGCTTGAGGTACCCAAGCAGAAGCAGGCTGCAGAACCACTGCTTTAACAGCCCATTGCCAGGCTGTTAGAGGGACTTGCCCTGGGTCGATACAGCCACAACCACACCATTGCTTACCCTCCAGCAGAAGTGCTGCTTCCACTCCCTCTAGGCTCGGGCAGGGGGAGGCCTCCTCAACGTACCTGGTAGCTGTGGACCCTCAGGCAGGAGATCCCAGCCACCATACGAGCCAGAGAAGCCTGGCCTGAGGTGCTGTGTCAGTCCAGCATCACTGGCCAGTGCAGAGGGCAGCACACACGTGGGCAGCTCCCATCTGGGTGTCTGCAAGAGGACAGTGAACAGCTTGGGCTGTCAAGATGTGTCAGAATGACCTGAACAGTATTTAAGCTGTAGTGCTAGCTCTAGTTTTGAGGACTTCCTCCTCCTCCTCCAACACTATTCTGCAAATGTGATTGAAACCTTTCACAAAGGCACGCTGGAATACAGGACAGAACAGAGAGCTATGCACAACAAAGTGGACTGCAAAGATTCAGGCTCTTTAGCTGCTTCTCCCTTAAAACTTCTCTGGAGAGGCCATTATTTCTGAGAAACTCATGAAAAGCAAGAGATGAGACCGAAGCCAATAGCAGTGCTGCTGGAAAGCTGCTCTCTGAGGAGCAGGGGGGGCTGCAGAGGGAGGCAGGGGCAGCACCATGGCTCGTCTCAGGCACTGACATCATGTGAGGTCCCCCCTGCTGCTCAGGGGACCTTCAGTGAAGGCTGGTGTAGGAGAGTGGGACCAGAACACACCCCTGCCTGTCTGGAACTCGTCACAATCTTCCACCACACTCTGTCCTGCAGTTCAAACGTCAGAGCATGGTGAGCTGCTTCACCCCCACCAACCGTTCCCACCTCTGGCAGATCAGCAGCTTGCACACAAACTGTGAGGATTCAGCTGCCACCCAGCAAGAAACTGAACTGCCCCAGCTGCCTAAAGCACAGGGCTGGAGTGCCAGGAAACACCAGCCCAGAGGCTAAACACCACCTAACTGAGCAGTGCCTGGGACTCCCCCTCCAGCCTCCACAGCAGGCACCAGGGTTACCCTTAGCCAGGTCCCAGCTCACTGTTTCTCACTACAGCTCTCCCCAAGGAAGGCAGGAGGAGCTGCAGAGACCCTGTGTGGGACAGGATGCTGCATTCCCACTGCCCAGACCCACTCTGCATGGCAGAGGCAGCCAGAGGGGCACTGAGCAGTGCAGAGCTGGGCCCTACTGTATCCACAGCCTCAACTGCTCAGGTGTAGACTGGGAACGAACACACTGCACTCTCCAAACTGGCAAAATCTGCATTTAATTTACAACATAGTAAAGGTTACAGGTAAAAAGCTCAACAGAAAGCATGAAAAGACCTGTTACATATTACACAAGTGTACAAACTTCTGTACAAAGCCCCTAGATGTTATTGTCTCCTCCTGTACTGGCCAGCTATGGCCACCAAGCTCTAAAATAATGAGAGCTTGTTGAAACCTAAGGAGGAGAAGAGCTTTAAAAAAACAATAAGCAGTAAAGCTTCCCTTTTCAAGAAAAATCTTGCAAAGAGTCACTTGATCAAAAAAAACCAAAACAACAACAACAAAAAAAAAAACCCCAAACAAAAAAAAACAACACCCCTCCCCAACTCCCCAACCCCAGAATGGAAAAAAAGGAAGAGGAAAACCTGTTCAACTTTTATTTGCCCTAACTAGTCTTACTCTAAAGAGTTGCCTTCATAAAGCAGGTTGCTGGAAAAGGAAAATTTTACATACCAGAAAGCAAAACTAAAAATAAAGAGAGATTTCAGAGTCAGCATGGAGTGTTTGGAAAGAACAACCCAGGCCTGAATGATCCTGGTCAGAACTAACCCCAGAGCAGTGTCCCAGCACTGTGTCCATCCAGGGGAGCCCCAGCTGGAGGGGAGCAGATCCATCTTCAGAGCCAGCACTCCTGTGGGTGGGGTCACCACGGGCTCATTTTCACCTTGGTGACACGATGGGAGCTCAGCACTCTGCAGGTGCACAATCCCCCTGCCCTGGAGCATGGGCCCAGCCCCGGGGCCAAACTCTGCCCCAGCCAGCTTGGGGCTCTCCTGCTGCTGGGCCAGGCAGCTCAGCACTGCCCACACCCCACAGCCCTGCTGCTGCCCTTCCAGCACCCACCTCCTGGAGAAGCCCTCGGGACTGTGTGCCTGAACTGCATTACAGAACCTCAAAAAATCCAGAGGAAACCTAAGAAAACAGAGCTCTGGCCTCACCTTGCAAGTAAAGACAGTGTCTGATTACCTGTGAATCAGATTGTAAAATCTAAACCCAAGGATTTCAAGGCCCAGAGCAACAACCCAAATCAAGCTTCTCATTTTAACCAATGGGAAAAAGTGATGAAGTAGTAAAAAAATGTAGTATTATGAAACCAGCTTGTGCACTGCTTTATTCAAGGCGAGGCAGATTCTCTACTAAAAATTCACATTCTACCTTGAAATAGCACTCAGTTCTCACCCATGGTTCCCAGCAGCCAAAAGTCTGTAGATTGTGGTTCTCCTTGTTAATCATTGAGTCCTCTGACACTGCTGATGGCTGCTCAGTTTTGTCTGTGTCTTGTTCCCTCTCACATGTATACTCTAAGCTCACAAGTTCCATTTGCAAATAAAAATGACACTATTTAAGTGTAAAAGGGCCACCACGTCTAAAAGTTTGTTCTCCTCTGTGTTAACTCCACCTGAAGGTATGACAAGAGAGAGGGTCAACACAACTTTGTTGTTTATTGCTTGTTCAGTTGTAGGTAGTGCCCACCCTGCAGTGAAATGCTCCTGGGCTTGCCATGCTTGGTGCTGCCTTCAGCACCCCCACGGTCAGACCCATCCCCACGTCCCTCTGCCCACCCACACACCACTCCATCACACAGCCCTGCACCACAGCTCAGGAAGCCCACCTATTTCTTCTCCATCTCAGCTCCACGCTCATGAACTAATGGGATGCTGGAGTGTTTCTGACAGAAATTAAAATAGGCTGTAGCTAAACTTAAAAAAAAAAAAACAAAAAAAAAAGATAATGCCCCACATTGGTGGGGCTTTGAAAATGTAAAAAAGAAAAGCTGACCTATATTTTAGAACTCATACAAATGGGATTTCTGAAAGACTTGGCCCCACAAATGTTTACTTCTGGTACAGCTAACCTGCTATGAGCAAGTCCAGCAGGAACAACACTACTCATAGTAAGCATGACACCTAAATACAGAAATCTGCAGGGTCATGTAATAAATGACAATGAAATTGTATGACTCTGTCACTTCCACTTACAGCTCAAAATTCAGAGCAAAGACCTCTGGGGACAGCAGTGGCTAAGCAAAGGCTGCCAGACAGTTTGGTTCAAAAGGACATGGGAGCTGTGGTCGGTTCTTTGTTTTTTTTTCTTTTTTTTTTTCTTTTTTTAAACAGACATATAAAACCATTTGAAGACAGTTCTTTATAGGATGTTTCATTTCTCCAACCTTGGTATTACATCTCATTAGGACACTGAAATTTTAAAAAGAGGATCCTGCAGGTGAACAGTTTCTGGAGTTCAGAACTCCACCTCCCTCCACAAAACCCAGCTCAGATCAGGAGGGAAGGGGTTGGCTTCTTGCCTGGCCATGCCTCCTTTGCATATTTCTTCTTCTTGGGTTCATTCACAGCTTCAGGATTAAAGACGGCAGGGTTTGGAGCCGGGTTCATGTTCACTGTCGAGGGCACGACAGGAGTCAAGTCCACGTCTGGGGCCAGGTTGGGGTAGGGCATGGGCAGGCCCCCGATGAGCGCCGTGCCGTGCGCGCCGTGCGGCTGGGAACCCGCCTCGCTGTGGGTTGGAGGCAAACCCCCATATAACCCTCCACTGTAGGGGAAGCTCTGCATGCGCCGCGACGCAGAGTCATCCGTGGTCAGGGAGCCTGGATTCTCCAGCCGTTTCTTCTGTAGATGGAAGTATTTACAGCATTATTCCAAAGGGGTGGAAGAAGCAGGCTGGTTAAACTGGATGCCAGTGCCATTTTCCCCACACAGGCTGGTCTACACCAGCCACATATACAGTGATTAGAGATCACAGAATTATTTTGATTGGAAAAGGTCTTTAAGATCAAGTCCAACCATTAACCTAACACTGCCAAGCCCACCACTAAACCGTGTCCCTCAGTGCCTCTTTACACATCTTTTAAGGGATTCCCAGGGACTCCACCCCTCCCTGGGCAGCCTGACCCAGTGCTTCACAGCCCAGTCTTTGTCCCAGAAGATTTCTTCTGGGTTTCCTCAAAACCCACTTAATAATAAACTCTTCAAGGTGCACATCGCAGGAAAGGGAGACAGAATTTGAAGCTCAGGTTTAACTCAGATCACATCTGAGCACCTATTTACCTCCTGTACATGCTTGCTAGTCTTGAATTTGTCCTGAACACAAGACTAAGCAGGTCTTTACAGAGACTTTCCTTCCCCTCTCCCTCCCCCCCCAAGTAAGAAACTGCAATTCTACATCACTTGGGTGGTTTTGTCTAACTCCTGATCATTTCAATCTTCTCCTGCAGTCTGGTGTTTATGTAGAATTATCCTCTTCCACATACTTAATTTAATGTAAACCAGCAACAAGTGAAGCTGCTGTTACACTGTTGCTTAGCTACCCTGACGTTTCCCAGATCTTCCCTACTCCTACCATACTCAAATTAAAGATATAGCACTGGCAACACTTGCTCTTGGAGCAAAATCTAAACCCTGGTAGTTCTAGCAGACAACCTTATGAAATCTTTAGCCCTTACAGTATTTAAAGCACCTCTTATTTTTACTTTCTGTTTTCCATGCTTCCCACAACTTTAACTGATGCCTAGAACTACCACCCTGAATTTCTGGAAAGTGTTTCTTTTTGAGAGGAAAAAAAAAAGTTGCCATTGATCCCATGTGTTATTAAAATAAAAAGCTAAAGCTAGATTTGAAGGGAAATGGTCAAATCTGCTAAAAGGAGACAATTCTGAAATACAAACATGACTTTTGCTTAACAATAAAACACTTTCCACTACAGAACATCATCTTACTAAGTTGTAATTCATAAAGTGAGTTTATCAATGCAATGCATGGAGTAGAAAGTTGGGAGTTACTCTGTACCTTAACAGGGACTACTGCTGTCTGCACCATGTTCCTGAAGCGTCCAACAGAAGGGTCCACATCCTCTGTGAAGGCAAGAACAGTGAAGCCTTCAGTAAGAATACAGACAAAACCAGAACAGCTCTCAGGTAAAGAAAGCCATATGAAGAATTGGTACATGGACCTTCTCAAAGCCAGCACTCCTGTAGCTCTCAGTGAGCAGAAATAGAGAGGAGCTAAAGGGACACCTAGTGGCTTTGTCTCAAGGTGGGGTCATCAGATCCTCTGGTAAGAGAGGCCTCTCCTCCAATGGAGAAGGGGGAAGGGGAGCAGATGGATGGGCAGTTTGCACTGACCAGACAGCCTGGGGCTGTGGGCTGAGAACTGCTGATGTGGCACTGCACGTGCTCAAAGCCACAACAGTCCTAGGAGTCTCTGGGCAACACTGAAGGAGGCGTCAGAACAACTCACTATAAAGTCTCTGAAAGACTGAAAAAATGACCTTTTTTGTAATACAAAGGACTGCTGTTCACATTAGGATGTTCTGAGCACTGACCTGCATAACCCTGTAAATCAGAATGGTTACTCTGGGTGGCAGACACTGCCAAATGAAACAAGCTCCAGACAGTATTTTAAAACGCATGCTCATTAATAAGCTACTCTTGTTAATAGGTATATTACTCATACTAAATATAATTAACAGAAATGCCATTAATATAGAACAGCTAAGGGAGAAAAATGAGTGATTAGGAATTGGATACAGCCTCAGAAGCATCACTCTGAACCAAGATGACTTATTTCAGACACACAGACAAGTAGGAAAAAACCAATCTGAGCTTGAGACGACATCCATGAGGCAACATGAGGTAAGGAAAGCATCAAGGGACAGATGAAAACCAGGCAAGTTCAGTTCCCATTTAGATTCTAAAGAAGGCAAGAAACTTAAAATAGTTTCCTCCTCTTGGACCCATGAGATATTTCCAGCATCTGACAGAATTTTGAACAATGAAACTGAGTGTGATTATCCCTGTCCTGCAGAAACCATGGAGTTGTTTTACAGGTAGAGAAGAAACAGAGACATGTCAAAGACTTAAGTGAGACACATGGCAGCTTCTCTGAAATAGCAGATCCCAAATAATGACTGCCAAATTTCTGTTCTCCTTATCCATATGTAGCTGTGAGGAATCCCCATGAGCATACTGGAAAACAGGGCTCAACGGTATCAACTAAAGATTAAAGCAAAGTTCTTACCCGGATTGATGATTTCATCATCATCACTGAACGTGACTCTGGAGTTCTTCCGTTTCCTCTTTGGTCTCTGAATATCCAGGTTCCCTTCCTCAATGGTCAGCGTGGAGATTCTTTTGTTGTGGGCGGTGTTAAACTCTGTCAGGTTCTAATGACAAATTTGGAGACAAGACAGTTCAAGCAACTAGTATATGAAGTCTGATTTCCTGATGTGATTGTGCGTATCAAAAGACCACAGCACCCCGTTTAGCTTCAACTTTAGACCCCTAGGAGGAAAGAAAAGAGTGCTCTGGTGTTGCAACAGCTTGCCCAGGGAGGCTGTGGAGTCTGCCTGCAGAGATATTCAGGACTTGACTGAGCACTCTGCTGGACAACCTGCTCCAGCTGACCCTGCCTGAGCAGCGTGGCTGGACTCGATGATCCCAAGAGGTCCCTTCCAACCTCCACAATCCTGTGGATGCCACACAGCCTTCTCCCTCTCTGCTAAACCACCACACAGGGCAGCACTCACCGTCATCTGGCAGCCGCTGCAATAACCCCACATACTAACGTGTGATGTTTGCTGCAGAAAGTGTGTCCCTGGCAAGGCTGTCAGAAGACTGTTGGAACTGTAGCATTGTTAGGTCACAGATTCTGGAAAGCACCATGATCACAGGCTTGTCGTGGCAGAAAAAGATAGTTTTGTGCCTATCTGCCAGCAGAATACACTTCAGACTGACTTCAAGATCAAGAAATTAAGAACACGAACACAAGCAAAGAGGTGGGCAACACCACTGAGGTACAATGTGCCACTGTACTCACGTCAAGTTCTGTCTCCTCCTCTGGCAGGCCCAGCAAACCCTTGAGCTCTTCGTCTTCACCACCCATCTTCTCATCTCCTTTGACTGCTGAGGGCAGTGTCTGAGGCTTTTCTCGCAGCGTGTATGCCCGTGTAGAAGCACCAAATGAAACCGTAGAGTCAATGGGTATCTGTTGGGGTTTGTGGGCTTCCAAACGGATGTGACCCAAGAACGTGCCATGTGCTGAGAACATCCAAAAGCAAACAGTCTGTTAGTCATCAGCTTGTGCTCACAGTATTCAAGTTCAAGCCTTGAGGAGTTCAGAAACTGTGAATTGTTGCTTCGAGATACAAGTCACTGAGGTGCTGCTGAATACATTAGATATGAACATTTTACCCACAACCTCATGAACTAAGGCAACACTCATCAGAAACCCCCAGGAAGCCATGGAAATAAATGATGAACACAATTTACTTTCTGGATTCTTGTAGGTTCCAATGTACCATGTCTGGAATCATTCCCTCAGTGGAAAAAACAGTACGTTGGGTTTTAGATCTTGGGGAAACCATCCTCAGAAAAGAAAGCTTCATCAAAACTGTGAAGGGACAGACAAGTCACTTTCTTCCTCTTCTCTTAAAGAGTCTAGAAATTTTTTAGACACCAAGTCAAGCAGATGCAAGCTGACTGGAACAAACACTCCTTTGCTCCCAACCATCACCTATCTTTTGCTAGGATGCTAATTCATATTACACTGATCTACCCATGCAGTGCAAACAACAAATGAAGAAGTGTCTCAGATTCAGAAATGTTTAAGCACTGAAATATTGCACTACTATCTGGTGAAGTGTCACACTACTTACTGCTGTTTAGATCTATGAGGAAAACCCTCTTGAGATGTTTGTGATAGACCAAGGCAGCATGGACCCGAGAGCAAGACTGGTGGTCAATGGTGAAATCGCACAGATCCGGATTCCTCCCGAACAGATAATATTTCTTCTCATCAATGATGAGCTTCTGAGGTAGAATATCAAACAGAGAAGTGTGTTAGACTCCTATAATCATTTGGATCTTCCTGAAAAAAATTGAAGAACATGAATATACAGAGCAAAGTGAAAAGAAAGCATCCACATCTAATCAACACTTCGGTTTTGTCTGACACTGTTAAATACAGAAATTCAAATATTTGTAAACCAGACAGAAGGATATGGAAAGGTCCCAGTTATTCTCTTCTTTAACAGCCAATACAAGACAACCCAGAAAAGACAGAGCTCCCAACGATTTCCACACATTCCCCTATGCAGATGACCTGGGGCCTTGGTTAAGCCAAGAATCTATGCTAAATTATCTCCAGTTTGATACAGAACATAAGTAGTATATTTTTGTACAGAAGTAGTCACACAGGAGATTCCAGACCTTTATAAAAAAGATGTAAAGCTACACAGAATATATCATGTGATATGAATCTGTGCTAGTCTATTCAAACAAACCATTAATTTCAGGCATTTCTTCTTAATTTACCCTAGTTCTCATCTCTTCTTTAAGCCAGATCTCACATGCTGTAGTACCAGCTACACAAACCCATCTCTGAGAAGCAAAGGAACGTGCTGACAGTCCCAGAGCAGACACAGTGTGTTCCTATCAGCTGCCAGTGCTGAGGGGAGCCCCTGTGCTGGGTGCTGCAGCACCCGAGCAGCTCAGCCCCCGGCCCCCACACAGCCCAGTCCAGTCTGTGCTCTTGCTTCCAGCTGCCTGGGCCAAAGGCCTTGGTAACAGATGGCTTCTGCTTTCTGAAACATTTACCCCAGTCCACGCAGCCTTCCCATGATACATGTTCCATCAGAAACCCCCTGACCTTACCTGAGGACAACACTGCTCTCATGAGATGGGCTGAGCTGAATTAACATTGTGCCTGCTGAAGGACCAGGATTTCTCCCCTCTCCTCCTTCCACTCCCAGCTATCCAACGCTCTCCTCACTCACACTGCCACACATCTGAGCAAAGCTTCTGGCTTGCCAAGGACATATTTCTGCTGTTTCAAAGGACTGGACCAGTTTGCCTTCAGGCAGATGGACACCCCAGCTGGCACAGGACTGGGCAGTGAGGAGAACCCCCCTCCCTGGCAGCACCACTCAGGGTAGGCAGTGGTTCACTCCCCGTTTTGCCAGCTGTATAAACCACAAGCTCAGCTCCACAGAGCCAACGTACCAGACTAGGCACAGGCAGCTGATTTGGGTAGTTTTGAGCTATCAGAAAGACTGACTCCATCAGCACCGAGACATTTCCATATTCTGTGGCACTACCAAGACAGAGAAAATGAGACACTGGAAGAATGAACAACTCCAGACAGACTTGGCTTTTTTTCCCCCCTCAATTTTTTAATTGGTCCCTGAACTAATGACTTGATAATCTCTCATTCCCAACTAACTCAAGGTACAAATTTTAAGTGCTATTTCATGAGAGTAAATGTTTTCTGAAATCCACTGACAGATGTATTTTGGCCTGTTTTCTTAAAATAGCAACACTAAGGTGATCAAGCTGTGTGAGTATCTGTCAGCTCCTGACAGCTACTACTAAACCAAGTAACTTCTCAACCAACTGGCCATATTCAACTAGCACTATGAGGTAATAAATTTCAAGAAGTTCTGCAAAAACAAACAGCTAGATAGATGACAACTTGATCAGTACCTTCAGTGATACACAGGCTGGCAGAAAATCCACAAGGGTGCTTAAACTTAGGCTTTAACTACAAAAATTCTTCTTTGTGAGTCCACGTCTCGTCTGATAAGACAGGAACTGCAGCTTAATTAGCAATTCACCTTCAAGTGTGTTATCTGGTGACAAGTGAGGTGCAAATGCAAAATGCAAGTGATTTTCCTCCAGCTGGGATATTTAGAACATGACAGTGTCTTCTCTGAATCAGTTTGTGTCTGGTGGGGAATAGTGTACCTCAAAGCCCAAATATAATACATAAAAAAATCCCAAGAAATCAATATACTGAAAGAGTCTACTGGATTCTGCTCTCACCTGGCTATTTTCTTATTACTGTTTCTTTACAAACACTGGTTTTCACAAGACCCCCCTCCAGAATCAACCAGCAAGCATAAGTCACTGAGAAAGGGCTTAAACAATTACACGAGTTTGTCAGTCCTTTCTGATTATTTCACTTTCATCTGCTTACAGGTGGAATTAAAAAAGAAATAAAATCTCCTCCCTACACATTCTTCATGCTAACGTGTTTTTCTTGCGCTCTTCTCTGCAAGCATCACTCAACACCTGCCCTTCCAGGAACCTCACTGGTATTTTCTCTCAACATGACAGTTGTTTCATCCAGCTACAACCTGTGAATTCTGAAGTGTTTGTTAAAAGACATCTTTTGAGAAATGCTGGTTGGGTTTTCTGGGGATTCAACTTCACAGGAACAGATCTGTGTCGGATATTGTGCAGTACCTTGCTCATTCACTTCAGCACTTTGAGTCTTCCCAAAAATCAATACCTTTGGACTAATCCATTCTATGATTCCATTTTGTGAGAAATAGACTTTTCCTGTACATACACTAACTGTTCCTTTCATTCTTGTGTGTTTGAAAAAAAAAAAAAATCCTGTGTAAACACAGCTCTGATACAAACAAGTGGATTCCTTACTGGACACTGCTCAGCTCTGCACGCAGCTATCTCACCATTTCAAGTACCACAACAACTGGTCCAGCAGCTTCTCATTCTTGCCCACAACTGAAACCAAAGCACCCTCTAAGTTTTCATCTGTACCCACGATACACAAATTTCAAGAGATTTTGCAAAGACACAAATTAACTCATATATTGGAAATACTGTAACAAATCATCAACAGAGAAAATTTTATTGCCTTTACTTCAAGAGAACATTTTCTGTGCCTCTGAGTTATAACCCAGTGTTATCCTTTAGACACTGAGCTTAAACACTTCATGGCTTGTTTTAATGTTGCACTTTTCAGACCCAGCAATCACAAGGTGTACCTCAGACCTCCTCACAAGACCTGGGATACGGATGGCTCGGTTAGTATCAAGTGCTCAGGAATCCACAAGATTCTTTGCTGATAAGACACAAATCTGAAGGACTATTTGCTACATGTACCAAAAAGGGAGGCAGCTGGATCCCAGTCAAATGCTGTGAGTTCACTGCACAGCTCCCAGACACACACAGCACACTGTTTAATCACCACAATCCTCACCTCCACACCGTGCAAGGCTGCAAAGCAAGCTCACGGACAGGCACAGGTGAACACTCTGCTCCACCTGCCAGCAGGCCAGCTCCTCTGCCTCCTCCCTCAGTGGCACAGGCAGGGCAGCTCTGTGACACAGAGAGGTGCCTGTGCCCCCACACCAGCAGCCACACTCACTGCACACCGACCTCAGCAACCCTGAGAGCCAACACCAGACATCCATGAGGTCAAATTCTGCAACCTCTGTGTGATCTCATCCTCTACTGAGCCTTGGAGTACTTGGACAGCAGACTAGCTGTTAACAGTGCTCTGCAAAAAGAACCTCTCCTGCAGTTCCGAAGACAAGGTGCCTTCTGGCTGCAGTCTGATACCTCCCATGGAAGCCTCTTGCAGGAAACAAAATGTCAGCTTTGGTCCAAGACTGAGTTTGGAAGAAGTAAGACTTTGCAACGTATCAGGTTTCCCTTACAAGGTGTTATTTTTTCTCTCTCTGTTACCAGGGCAGGTTCAATGCTCAGGAACCCGTGTCACTGCTGGCTAGCTGAGCCCTGCAGGGTCCCAGGGCCTTCAAATGCTGCACCTAGCTGGAAGGTAACATGGAAGCACCAAGAGCCTCAGGGTACAGCCAACAGACAACTCACTTCATTCTGAAGTTCCAGAGTAAACCAAACTGATTTGATAATAATGAGAGAGAAAGGAAATGCTAATGAGTAAATGTGGCAAATGCTGGGAGATGCTCTACTGCTGCTGCCTGTGTATGAGACACACCAAATACACACAAAACCTATTTGCATACCTCAATGAGTTTGTCTCCTTTGACTACATCCAGATGTAAGCCAGGTGGTGGTTTCCCTGCCCTGGAAAATAAAGGAAAATACAGTATTAAAATATTTAATAAAAAGTTTAATAGTGTTACAGCTAATACTGTATTACAGCTACAGACCAAACTTACACAAATGTAAGCAGAATTATTTTTGGGAAAATATGAAATTACCACAATTTTCCTCCCTGCAGATTCTGACAACATAAACCATTATTTTTCACAATAAGAGTTAAACCAAGTTGATATGAGGCATTTCAAGCCTTCTTCTCCTGATGAACACTAGCCAATTTGCAAAACAAACAGAACAGCTCCTAAAAGAATATGGAGTTGGGAAGAGGCTAACAACTGGAGAAGGGGACAGGCTGGGACTGTTTGCCCAGAGGGCTGCTCAAGGGCTCTGTTTTCTCACATTTACCTTCAAAACAGTAGTTCTGTTGCTGAGAGGATGGAAACTTCCACCATCCTTCCTCTCTAGGACTAGTAATGGCAACAGACCTGAAAGAGGCTCCACATACACCCGCAGTATTATAAAACTCTTGGCCAATAGCCAGTGTTCCTCCACACTCATCCTGTAATCAAACCTTCCTACCAAACCCAGGTAACGTGGAGGAGAGCACAGTGCTAGATACCTGATGACAGGACAATCTACAGTCCTGCTCCCTCAGCTCCCCCAGCCCTGCTCACCTCCCCTGCAGCAGGTTTAGCAGCTGGACACTGTTATCCCCACGTGGGCAAAGGGGCACGAGGGACCTGGCAGCACACAGTGGAACAGTGCTGACATGCTGGACAGAGAGCCCACAAGGGCTGGCAGCACCAAAAACGTACTTGGTGTTTCCTGGGCTCAAAAGCAGGACACCACTGTGGCATCAACACACTGCCCTTCACTACACAGGGTCTTCAGCTGTTGGCAGCAAACCATCTTTTCCTGCTCAGATAGCCAAAAACCTGCATCTCTAGTACTTCTTCACTTCGTTTCTGTGGCTGGACCAACTTCCAAGGTGACAGCAGTGACCTGGTTCTCAGCCATGCTGCTGCCCTTCTGAAGAGCCACTGCAGAGCCCACGGTCCCACCCGCTGCCTTGCCCACTGCACAGCTAACCAGGGAAGCAGCAACAATGGCTAGCAACATTCTCAGCACGGCTGGAGAAGAAAGAAAGGTCACTGGTAATTGAAATTGTCTGAGGGGGTTCAGTATGGATGTCCACAGTTCTGGGACGTGCCTTACAATCTGAAGAAGGCTTCTTCATGTCCCAGGTCAGCTGGTTTCTGCACATAAGCTTTCCTAGGTAACTTCATACAAGAACTTGGTCCTCCATTATTTTGCTCAGGTCTCTCTGGCACTTTTGAAGATGCCACCTGGGACCTTCACAAGTTTCCCCACCAAGACCTCCTCTAATACTACGGATAAGATGGATGTGGCTGATTTTGATTCTTATTCTTTTGGATGAACAAACAGCAGCAGCAGGAGCAGAGGATGCAAAGCTCCAGGGCAATCTGTTAAAATAGTGAACGCTTCTTAGAAATAGGATTATAGTGCTGTGAGGGAAAGACCAACAAGTAAAAACACTCCCAGTGAAGGCACAGTCTGTCTGATGATGCTTCTCTCAAGCACTGCTCTAGGATCACACAGCCAGGACACAGCTCAGTGTTGCTTTCCTGTGCTCCCCTCAGAGCTCAGCACTATTCTTCACTGGATGACAGGTTTCCTTCACGGATTCGTGTCCACTTCTCAGTGTTTCCTCCTTCTGCCCTCAACACTGGCAAACTTGTTTTTCTGCACTGCACTGAAGTTGCCAAGTTCTAGTTGTTCTGTGACACAGCTTTTGATAAGTTCCATAAGGTCTGCCTTGCTCCGAGCAAACAAAAGCTGCTTCCCTCACTTCCCTCACCCTTTTCTCTTCCCTCTTCCAAACAGGTAAACTCATCAATAACTGGCTCACCAAGCAGGTGTACTTACTCAGTTTGGCCTCTGCTCTGCTTTGCAGTGAGCTCTTCCTGGATGCTCAATGGTCAGCCTGTCCCAAAAACACTTCAGCAACATCCTCAATGTTAGGCCACAGGAAAGCTCCCAAGTGCTCCAGCACCACCACTTTCCTCTTCTGTGAACTGAATCCTGTCTGATGGCCATCTTCTGACATACACAAGCTCTGATTTTTCATTACTGTCTCTCATTTTAGTTTCACCCTTGCTGTTATTTACTTTGCTTTAGCTGCAAGTTTATTTTGAGCTCAGGAGAAAAGCCCAGCAGCAGCACAACACTGTGCCTTCAGCTACAAATTAAGGTGCTTGAAAAATTTATCTATTCTCTGGCTTCCTTTGGACTGAGCATCCTTTGCAAACAGTGTTTCTCCATCTCCCCAAGCCTGCAAAACACTGAACACTGCAAGGCTGGAAATACTGATTATAACACCATCAAACTCACAGAAAAAAATCCTGATAGAAAAATCCTTTGGAACAGATTAAATTTGTGTCACAGCTTAGGCTGCTGGTTAGATCCTTGAAAAGCCTTAATGAAAACAGGGAGAATTTCCAGTTTATATTCAAAATTTATTAGTTCTGGATCCCCAAAGATGAGAAGCAGTGGACGTACAGTTAGAAGTATCAGCAACCCTGCTCTGCCCTATCAGACCCCTCAACTCACACACTGAGGAGGTAAAACACTGAGAGGAAATCTCTTGTAAACTCTACAAGAAGAAAGTTTGTCAGAAAGCTGGTACTGTGCTGTTAGAGGAGGGCAGTTTTTTCCCCTCTTTTTTATAATATTTTTTTAAGGTCTTTTCTCACTAATGGGCTAAAACATCCACCCAACTTGTTTTCCTGCACTGTTCTGAAGGATAAAGAATTACTTGAGGACAACCAGGCTTATCACTGCTCCAAGACAAAGGATCTCACATCAGGACCTGGCTCCAGCACCAGCACTTGTGTTTGAAAGAGAACCAAGAAGCTGCTCTGTACCTCCCAGACTGCATCACAGTCCCCACTGCCGGCCTGTCTTCTGCTCTCCACAGGTCAGCATTCTCTAAGTGACTTCAAAATAAGATCTGTGAGTTAACTAACTGTTAGTGATCCCTAGTTTGGGAAGTTTAACTGAGACACACCATGTTTAGGCTGCCTGCTGACCCACCAGAGGCTTCTGTGGGAGAAAAGAAGTCTTCCAGACAATTAATGAGGCTGACTGGCGAGGAGAACGTGACCTAAAGTATCATTAAATGGACTCTCTGGATCAGAGAAGAGGTGAGAGGCCATCTCAGACTAGAGCTTTCCTTCTAAGAATGAGTCCAAGAAACTCAAAAGAATTATGTCACAGAGGTTATGAGAATTACTAAAAAGAAGGCACCAGACTACAAAGCCCAGATGTTACTTAACCAAGCATTCTAAGAGATACCAAATAGCAGTTTCCTACACTTGACTGTTTATCACCTACTGCTTAAACTACCCTCACTCCCAGAGAAATGAAGGTATCAACTGATGAGGCTACTTTTGAACCATATTTCAGGAGTGATGTGGAAACCACATGCAGTAAAATCAAGTTCTGACAAGGAAACTGTTAGAATATTTCAGTTGGAAGAGACCTGTGATGACCATGTGGTCCAACTGCCTGACCACTTCAGTGCTGACCAAGTTAAGGGACACCTGCCACTCAGCTGGGTTGCTCAAACCTGGACACTTCCAAGGACAGGGCATCCAGCACCTCTCTGGGCAATCTGTTCCAGTGCCCCACCACCCTCAGAGCAGCAAATTTCTTCCCAATATCTCATGTAAATCTCTTCTCTTTCAGTTTGAAACCACTACCCCTTGTCCTATCCCTACAAGCCCCAACCAAGAGGCCCTGCCCAGCTTTCCTGTCGCCCCTTTTAACTACTGGAAGGTTGTTATAAGGTCTCCCTAGATCCTCTTCTTCTCCAGGCTGAACAGCCCCAACTCTCTCAGCCTGGCCTCACAGGGGAGGTGCTCCAGCCCTCGGATCATTTTTGTGGCCTCCTCTGGACCTGCTCCAACAGGCCCTTCTCTTTCCCATGGGGGGGCCCAGATCTGGATGTAGTACTGCAGCTGGGGTCTCACCAGAGCAGAGCAGAGGGGGAGAATCTCTCTCTTAACCTGTTTGCCACACTGCTTTTGATGCAGCTCAGAAATGCTTTGGAAACATGATGACAGGTAGGGATGACAGTTCTTCCCAATGCCAGGGAAACACTTTTTCTTGGATCAAAGAAGGACAAACATTGCTTTGAATCCCAAGATGATAATGCCCATGCTGAAGGAATGCCTTGTTTGACAGAACACAATCAGGCTCTGAATAGTTTCTGTTCTACTTAAGATGAGCTGAATGTCCTGAGAAATAAGTTAATGTGGTCACTGGATAAAACTGATGTTTAGAAGCCAAGGCAGTTGACTTCTTCCACGAGAAGTGGGCATCTTCCCAGATGATGAGTGGTGAGTAGGGAATTGAGACAGGCACTCTACCCTAGAACTGTTGGTCATCACCTGTACAAAGGATGGGGAGATACACACCAGACTGTCTTCACACACAGCTATTCCCAACGGGTCGCTGGGGGTTTGGGTTCTGTGCTTTGGTTTTTGGTTTTTTTTTCCTTAATGGCAAGCTGAACTTGCCTTAAAATGACACTCTTCAAAACTTGCATACGATGTGTACTGCTTCCACCAGGTCCAACCCCACTCTATCCATGCTCCTTCTGAACACTTCTCTTGTGAATGAGAGCATGATTTAATTGAGAGAGCAGTACTGCTTCTGTCTGACTTCAACAACTCTACTTACAATTCCACACCAATGTGAAAGGTATCAGGCAGATCAAATCAGCAAGGAACCTCCTGCAAAACAAAACCCCACCTCCAGTAACCAGTATCAGGGGCCTCACACAGGAACAGTCTCCCTGTTTCCAACAGTTACCAAGCCAAGGACTCCCTGAGCCACAGTTGCTATCCCCTTACAGAGCTCTCTGCCTGTGCTGCTCCAAGAGCCCACCAAAACCTAACGCACTGACAGACCCTCACACAAACCATTTCACAGATCCCCTA